AGCATTTTGTATGTTCCAGAAATAAACAGTAGCGGGTGATCACACACACACACACACACACACACACACACACACATATATATATATATATATATATATATATATATATATATATATATATATACCCACAGAGCCCACCTGCAGTTTATACTGCAACTATTCTGAACGGACGTTAGTTACTGTTTATGAACGAGGCCGCGTAATCTGGTGTACCCAACAGTTCAAATCGAACATGGCCGGTACGCTCAAACACTCCGTCACGATGACTTATGACTTCGTGTTTGCACAACGATCGATGGCATCATAACTATTCCGTCTACTTAATTTCGCTCACAAGTCTTGGGTTACTGCAGAGTTTGAAATAATCCTGAAGTCTTTTGATAAAAGAGAAAAAAAAGTTAGGAAAACTGAAATCCGAGGACCAAAAATAGTTTATCGATTTTTATAGTATTCGTTAAATAATAATTAAGTTCTTAACTAAATGATAATTATTCAGTTGACCGTATTTGATGTCATACAAGGCCCTGTTTATTTCACCAAGAAATATTAAGAAAAAAAAGAGTGGACAGTACATTGAATATAACTTCATCCATGTTTCCTATTTGTCCAAATTCATAATAATTTTTTTTTACTGTATACATTACAATTTTATGAAATTCTGATACTTACGTCAAAATAAAATAAGCAACGATAAAGTCTTGTACATAAAAGTTCTTAAAAACGTTTAGATTCAACTACCAGCCATACCTAGCTGGTTGATCAGAAAAAGTGTTCAATTAGAATGGAGCAGAAACAGAATCATGTTTAGATGTAACAGAGTTTATCTTCTTCAATTACTTTAAAGTATTTTCATTAAAAAAACATTTTGAATTAATGCAGTTACTGATATAAAAGAAGTAGTCTGTATTTATTCAGTCGAAGTTAGCCGCGGACATGAATGGATAAAACAGGCAATATGAAGACCCATTTCAGACCACAATTATTTTGGAGTTTTTGAAATTCAGTTTGCCAGTGTGCTACCAAGATGTAAAAGAGGATAGAATTTATAAAGTAATTGTTAAGTTTGATGAAAATTGATTGAAATATCAACGAAAAATAAGAAACCAGTAAAAATCGCCATTTTTCGCTATTTACGTGGGTTTTCACTATATGGGTGGACTCAATTATCAAGTTAAGTGACTGTTAAACAATGGAATTATTGTTAGCTACAATTGAGTGAAGTTTGTATTCGATTACTTGAAAATTGAGGGAATTATTTTAAAATTTGTGTTGAAATCGATTTTTGGTTTTTCGCGATTTTTCTCTAAACACAGTTGCGTAGAAATAAAAAAATGAGGTATCGCTTAGCTCGTCATGATGTAACCAACCTACATACCGAGTTTGAACGAAATCGGAGGAAAAATGTTGAATTTATCGATTTTTGATCAGCTTTAACGATAATTGATTTTTTAAAAATTAGCGATTTTTACGCTAAGAACATATCTCTTACATGGTACAATGTATAAGCCAAGTTTGGCCAAAATCAGTTGAATGGATTTTGAGTGAAAAGATATCACACAGACAGAGAGACAAATACACAGACATCATCTGTTTTATATAGAGAGATAACTAACGAAAATGAATAAAGATCGAAATAATTTTGACTATTTAAACTACAAGTTAAGTTAGATCTTATGAAATGTAAATATAAAATATAAGAATATTTGAATAACAAAAATTATATAAATTATTATATTATGAAAATATTATAAATACAAAATATTGTAAGAAAACTTAAACTACACAAATATATAAAAATCGTATGAAAATATAAATTATTATAAGAATATTTATACTACAAAATTATACAAAATATATTATGAAACTATTCTAACATAAAATATTAAGGGAATATTTGTACAATAAAAATTGTATAAAATATTATATTATGAAACTATTCTAAAATAAAATATTAAGAGAATATTTGTACTATAAAAATTATATAAAATATTATATTATGGAGCTATTGTAACAAAATATTAAGAAAATACTTGTACTATAAAAATTAATAAAATATTATATTATGAAAATATTATCAATACAAAATATTGTAAAAGTATTTAAATTACACACATATATATAAAAAATTATGAAAATATTATAAATGTAATATATTACGTGAATATTAAATTGCAAAATAATATAAAATATTATATTCCGAAAATATTCTAAAATATAAAATATAAGAATATTTATCTAAAAAATGTATAAAATATTTAATTGAGCTCAGTACAATTTCAAATAGAAATAGAAATTTTTCAAAATATTGTTTAATATAAAAATCTATATAAAATATTATAAATATAAAATATGAGAATATTAAACCATACATTATATAAAATATTATATAATGAGAAGAACTTAAAATATAAAATATTACATTTAAACAATATTTATATAAACTATTATATTATTGGAATAATATGAAATATAAAATATTATAAGAATATTTAGCTGACAAAGATTATATAAAATATATTATGAAAACATTATGAGAATATTTTAACTTCAAAAATTACATAATATATGTAATATGTTCATTTTATAAATAATAATATATTATATACTATAATATAGTATATATGTTATATGTCTATATGAAATTATTTTAAATTATGAAATATATTTAAAGTACAAACATTTATAAATACTATATTAAGAAAATATAAAATATTTAAAATACAAAAATCATTTGCAATTCTGCGGAGGAAAATTGTTATTCGACTTCCACTCAAATCCACGGTTGTAAAAACTGAACGTAGATAAATACTAACTTCTAATATAATAAATATAAATATAATATATTTATAATATATAAATTGTAAGAAAATCATATAGCGTATAAATAATATTAACTAATTAAAGAAATAATTTCGTTAATTAAGCAATTATTCTATTTTTTATTATTTGTTAATTATTTAATCCATTTCTATATATTCATTTATATATTTATTTATATATTTATTTTTATATTCATTTTTTTAATATTTTATAGAGATTTTTTTATATATATTTATATTTATTTAATTCAACTTACGAGAGTGTGCTAAAATAATTTGCAAAAAACAATTCAAGCGACTATTTTTAATTAATAATAATTTACTAGTAATTAAAGAATAATTATTAAATTTAGTCGTTCAAAATAAAATAATTGTAGATAATAATTTTAGTAATATCCATCGACAAGTACAGAACGAACGGAAAATCGATAAATAAATTCTGAAATGAAGAAATGTCGGGAAAGTTGTCTCAATTTCCATGTGAAAATTGGTTGAAATTATTTAATTCAGTAGAAATTTTCGAATTTCACGGCTCTTGGCCCAAATGTATTTTTGCAAAGTTAAATGTGAACAGAATATTTTGAAGAATATTGTCACCGAAAGAAAAAAAGATTAAGAAGGAAATGAACTAAGCAATGGAAAACGAAAAGGAAAAGGAAAGGAAAAGATTAAATGAAAGGTAAAGGGTGAAAAAAAAAATGGATACAGAAAAGAAAAGAAAAAAGTAAAAAAGTAAAAAAGAAAAAGAAAAGGAAATTAAAAAGAAAAGGAAAAGAAAAAAGAAAAAAGACAAGGAAAATTAAAGGAAGGAAAAAGAAAAGGAAAAAGAAAAGGAATAGAACAATGAAAAGATAAAAACGACGAAAGAAAAGAAAAAAGAAAAGAAAAAGAAACGGAAATAACGTAGAGAAGGTAATGATCAGCTTGATAATTTGCTTGTGGTGGTGGTGGTAGTAGTGTTTTAGGGGGGTAGTAGTGTTTTAGTTGTTGTTGTTGTTGGTGGTGGTGGTGGTGGTGGTAGTACTGTTTTAGGTGGTGGTGGTGATGATGATGATCATCATCATCATCATCAAACGCTAAAAAATGTAGAGAAATGCGCACTCATACACACCCATACACACATACAAAGAAAGAAAGAAAGAAAGAAAGAAAAAAAGAAAGAAAGAAAGAAAGAAAGAAAATCTAAAAGCTGTAGTAAGAAGCATGAAAAATGAAAAATTAAGTAAGAAAAGTACAAAGAAAAGAAGTAGAAAGTAAGAAAAAATTAAATTGGTAGAAAGAAAGAAAGAAAGAAAGAAAGAAAGAAAGAAAGAAAGAAAGAAAATCTAAAAGCTGTAGTAAGAAGCATGAAAAATGAAAAATTAAGTAAGAAAAGTACAAAGAAAAGAAGTAGAAAGTAAGAAAAAATTAAATTGGTAGAAAGAAAGAAAGAAAGAAAGAAAGAAAGAAAGAAAGAAAGAGAGACAGAAACGAAGGTTACAAAGAAGAAAAGGAGAAGGAGTAGAATGGAGGTAGAAGTGATGAAAAGAAAAGAGATTGAAACTAAGAAATAAAGCGAATAGCAAGAAACGAATGTGTAAAAAGAAAGAAGAATACAAAAAACTAGAAAGAAAAGAAAAGAAGGAAAGGAAAGAAAAGAAGGAAAGGAAAAGAAAGAAAGGGAAAGGAAGAAAAAGAACCCAAAGATGTACTAAGAAAAGAACGTTAGAAAATAAGAAAGAAGCAAACAGCTTTGGAATTGTTCAAACAGGAGATTACATAAAGGGTATATAGCGGACTATATATGAAGAAAGGTTGCTGTTAAAGTCGAAGCATAGTATTGACTCAAGATCATATGTAAGGAACACTTAGTGTGAATGGAACCGTAGGCTAAGGATATGCGAGACCAACTCGCTAACCATTGCACCACAACGAGGGGCTTGTAAACTTTGTTCTAATTGAAAGACTGACAGCATTATTGATTATTATGATCACAGGATTGCAATCAAATGAAGACTGTCTAGCGTTGAGGAAAAACCCTATAATTAATAATGAAGAAAGGAATTTGATGAAATTGGTTATAAAATAAAAACGAATGGACAAGTAGAATGAAAGACAAAGAAAAGAAAGAAAGAAAGAAAGAAAGAAAGAAAGAAAGAAACATCAGATGAAATGATAGAGAAAAGGAAGCAAGTTAGAAAAGAAAAGTTAGGCAGACAGAGAGGCAGACAGAAAGAAAGAAAGAAAGAAAGAAAGAAAGAAAGAAAGAAAGAAAGAAAGAAAAAATACTCAGTCATAAAAAAATGGAGGGGAACGAAAGACAAATTCTCAATCAAACAATTAAGGTGGGAAGGAAAGAATTCAGGAAAGACTACTTTTGATATATATATATATATATATATATATATATATATATATATATATATATATATATATATATATATATATATATTCTTAATAATCATTATTCCATTTGGGAAACGTGTATTTTACGGTGTTGATTGCTTGCAGTCAAATCTCTTTAACATGGTCCGAAATAGATTCTTCTTTTACTCTTGCGAGATCATCAAATCGGCAATGCACGTGGGGCTTAAGACTTTATAACGTTTCCTAGGAATCGAACATCTAGTCTGAGCTGATAATAATAATAATAATAATAATAATAATAATAATAATAATAATAATAATGTCGACGGTGGTGGAGGGGGGAGTAAGGGGTGTGGTGGAGATAATGTTTCAATTATTCATGAAGAGAAAAGGAAACAGAAACTGGCAATAGGAACAAAAGGAAATAAAGAAAGGAAAGTGTTAAAAGAGAATAAAGAAAAATAAGGAATAATAACCTTAGTCAGAAAGGAACGAAGGAAGGAATGTGGGGAAAGGATAAAGAAGGAAAGAAAAATGAATGAGAAAAAAAGAAAGAAACGATGAAATAGAAAAGAAAGGATGAATTAAAGAATGAATGAAAAAGGGCAAAATAAATTTAAAAAGAAAGAAAGAGAGAAACAACTGATGTCAAAAGAAAAGACAGAATTAAAAGAGAAGGCAAAGAAAGGAAGAATACAAAGAAAGAAAGAAAGAAAGAAGCGATAAGATAGAAAAAAACAATAAAATGGAAAAAACAGGATCAATTAAAGGGATGAAAAAAGAAAAACAACTGAAGTCGAAAGAAAAGACAGAATTAAAAGAGAAAGCAAAGAAAGGAAGAAGACATAAAAATGTATGAAAGAAAGAAAGAAAGAAAGAAAGAAAGAAAGAAAGAAAGAAAGAAAGAAAGAAAGAAAGAAAAATCAATAAGAAGGAAAAAAAAGATAAAATGGAAAAACAGGATCAATTAAAGTAGGGATGAAAAAAAAGAGTAACAATTGATGTAAAAAAAATTAATAGAGAAAGCAAAGAATGGAATAAGAGAAATAAAAATGTATGAAAGAAAGAAAGAAAGAAAGAAAGAAAGAAAGAAAGAAAGAAAGAAAGAAAAAAGCAATAAGAAAGAAAAAACAATAAAATGGTAAAGACAGGATCAATTAAAGGGATGAAAAAAAAAACAACTGATGTCAAAAGAAAGAAAAGACAGAATTAAAAGAGAAAGCAAAGAAAGGAAGAAGACATAAAAATGTATGAAAGAAAGAAAGAAAGAAAGAAAGAAAGAAAGAAAGAAAAGAAAGAAAGAAACAAACAAACAAACAAACAAACAAACAAACAAAACAAAGATGTAAATGGTTTTGAAGTGGTTGGTTTCAGATCGAAAGAAATATTAATAGCTGCCTGAAATATGAGGAGAAAGCGTCCCTGTTGTTAAAATACAAAAGGATACAAAGATTAGAGAGTGGTTTGCGATAAAAGAAAGTAAAAGGCACGAATATGGACAATATCAAAGGCGAGAATATAAATAGTGGGGAAGGTGGGGGTGCCGAGAGAAATCTCCAATCAAAATCTGCAGTGGGCGGGGCCTGTAAGGGGTGCAGGGATGTATTAGGAAAGTGGAGGGGGGAAAGAACAAAAGGATTTATTATTTTAAAAAATGGCGCTAGGGAGGAGTGTGTAAGTGTGTTGGGAATGTTCAATGGTGTGAAGATCTATAATCAAAGCAGAAGACGAAGTAGTGTAGAGAGTGCGAGGAAGAAAGCCTGACAAAGAATCGGGGGAGGAAACGGTGGTTTATGTGAAACAGATTCGGGAAGAGAGAGAAGGAAGGGAGAAAGAGAGAGAAAGAAGGGAGAAAGAGAGAGAGAAGGGAGAGAGAGAGAGAGAGTGCGGGTGAAAAGCAGAAGAGAAAGTGAAGAGCAGAAGCAGACAAGATAGAAGAAACGAAAATTAAAGAAAGAAAGCAAAAAGAGAAACAACTACTTGAGGAAGGCATGGAAGAAGAAGAGAAAAAAAGAGAAGTAAGAAGAAGTTAAAAAAAAAGAGAAAAATGAGAGAGAAAAAAAAAGAAAAGCCATAAAATGGCTGCCAAGGAAAGATAAAGAACAGTCATAAAATAAAAAATGAATATAAAAGTAATAAACAAGAATAGAGAGAGAAGGTCGTAATGTAGAGGTGGGAAGAGGAAAGAGAAAGATGTATATAGAGTTAGGAAGAAGGGAAAAGAAAAGGAAAGAAAAGAAAAGAAAAGAAAAGAAAAGAAAAGAAAAGAAGTAATATAGAGGTGACAAAACGAGATAGAAACGAGAAGGACTTCATATAGAGGTGGGGAAAAGAGAGAGAGAAAAAGATGGACGCAATATAGAGGTGGGAAGAGGTGAGAGTAGGTTGTAATAAAGAGGTGAGAAGAGGAAAAAAGTAAAGGTAGTAATATAGACGTGGAAATTTGAGATAGAAAAGAGGAGGAGGTAATCAAGAGGTGGGAAGAAGAGAGAGGAAAGAGATGAACGTAATATAGAGGTGGGAAGAGGAGAGAGTAGAATGTAATAAAGAGGTGGGAAGAGGAAAAAAGAAAAGGGGGTAATATAGATGTGGAAATAGGAGATAGAAAAGAGGAGGAGTAATATAGAGGTAGGAAGAGGAGATAGAAAACAGAAGGACGTAGTGTAGAGATGGTAAGAGGAAAGAGAAAAGAGTAAGTAGGCGTAACGTAGAAGTAGTAAGAGGTAAGAGAAAAGAGAAGGGCGTGATATGGAGGTGGGAGGTGGAGAGAGAAAAGAGAAGAATGTAATCTAGGGGTAGGAAGAGGATAAAAGAAAAGAGAGTAATATACAGCTGAAAAGAAGAGATAAAAAAAAGAGAAGGGTGTAACATAGAGGAAGGAAGAGGAAAGAGAAAAAAGTAAGTGGGCGTAATATAGTGGTGGGAAGAGGAGAGAAAGAGAAAAAAGGACGTAGGAAGAGGAGAGTAAAGAGAGGAACGTGATATAGAAGTGAGAAGAAAAAAATAGGCGTAATATATAGGTGGGGAGTGGAAAGGGAAAAGAGAAGACAGTAATATAGAGGTGGAAAGAGGAGAGAGTAAAGGGAAAAGCCTAATATAGACGTAGGAAATGGAAAGAGAAAAACGCAAGTAGGCGTAATGTAGTGGTGGGAAGAGGAAAGAAAAACGAATAAGTAGGCGTAATATATAGGTAGGAAGAGAGGAGAGTAAAGACAAAAGTGTTGTATAGATGTGGGAAGAAGAAATAGAAAAGAGTAAGTAGGTATTATATAGAAGTAGGAAGAGGAAAGAGTACGTAGGCATAATTTAGTAGTAGGAAGAGTAAAGAGAAAAGAGTAAGTAGGAGTAATATAGTGGTAGGAAGAGGAAAGAGAAAAGAGTGAGTAGGCGTAATGTAGATGTAGGAAGAGAGTAACGAGAAGAGCGTAATATAGAGATGGGAAGAGGAAGAAGAAAAGAGTAAGTAGGAGTAATATAGTGGTAAGAAAGAGGAAAGAGAAAAGAGTCAGTCGGCGTAATGTAGAGGTAGGAAGAGGAAAGAGAAAAGAGTGAGTAGGCATAATGTAGAGGTGGGAAGAGGAAAGAGAAAGGAGTGAGTAGGCATAATGTAGAGGTGGGAAGAGGAAAGAGAAAGGAGTGAGTAGGCGTAATGTAGAGGTGGGAAGAGGAAAGAGAAAAGAGTAAGTAGGCATAATGTAGAAGTGGGAAGAGGAGAGAGTAAAGAGTAAGTAGGCATAATGTAGAGGTAGGAAGAGGAAAGAGAAAAGAGTAAGTAGGCATAATGTAGAGGTGGGAAGAGGGGAGAGTAAAGAGGAAAGCTCAATATAGAGGTGGGAAGAGGAAAGAGAAAAATGTAAGTAGGCGTGATATAGAAGTAGGAAGAGGAAAGAGAAAAAACGCGTAATGGAGAGGTAGAATAAGAAAAGGTATAAAAAAAAATGCTTAATGGAGAGACGTGTAGAGGAAAGAGAAAAGAGAAAGAAAGTGTAATAGAGAAGGGTAGAATATTGCATAGTAGCAATAAGAGGAGGAGAGTGACAAATGTCGTACTGTAATAGCAAGCTTGTTTGGTTCACTATTAGGAGTTACGAGTTCGATCCTCCATTGGTGCTATGTATTTCCAAATAACAGAGACTGTGTTGTATAGCAGTATTCAGATGAAAACGAGAAGAAAAAAAACGGCGTAATTTATAGGAAAAACAAGATAGAAGTGAAGAAGAATATAAGAAAAACTAGAATACAGAGTTTAAAAAGACGGAAAACAAAATGGAAACGTATGGAGATGACGTATAAAAGACAAGGGAGAGAAATGCAGAGATAACGAAAGTTTGAATTGCGATTAGTACATAGTTAATAATAAAAAAAAGAGAATAGGTTAATACAGTGTAACCCGGATATAAGAGACCCGGATATAAGAGAAACCCGGATATAAGAGAGATTTTCTCTGGTCCCAAATTAGAACCTGTGTTAATGTATATAAAACAGACCAAACCCGGATATAAGAGAAACCCGGATATAAGAGACTTCTTCTCCGATCCCGACAACTCTCTTATATCCGGGTTACACTGTATTAAGTTAGTATGATGAAAAACACACCGTAATATAAAAATAGAGACACTCGAATGTAATAGTAAGAGTTTTGTAAGTCGTTATATTTGCATACATATTTCGTACACAAAATGTAAAAAAAATATGGAACAGAGGTACCTCAGGACGTGTTAATGTTGAACTAACTAGTCTGATTATTAGTGATGAGTTCAAGCCTCACTGATTGCCCCATACTTACAACCTTGTACCAAAGTTAAACCAAGCTTAAAAAAAAAAAAAACAACGTCACAATGGTAATCACGCGAGATGTTTAAATCTTTGCTAGTGAGTTCGATCGTCGCATAGGTGTATCCTTTTAGTAAAAATGAAGGTAGGTTTTTAAAATAATAATTTCGGGACAGATGACATTGGTAGGCTAAAGGTTGGCGAGCTAGTCTGGTTTGCCTTTACTACTGATTGCTGAGGTTGATTCTCACTAAGTGACCAGGTCTTGTATCAAGCTAAGCTAAGCTATGTAAACGAGTAGCAACCATCATGTGACAATGGTAGTATTTGAAGGAAAATATAAATAAAACAAAAAGAAAGCCTCAAAAATTAAGTAAAAGAGGACAGAATAATTAAAGTTAGAGAAAGGGTACTCCTAGTAATCTTAATGGAAAAGGGTACACCTAGGAATCTTAATGAGAAAGGGTACTCTTAGTTGCTTAATGGAGGGAGGTGACTGTTTTTTTGTTTGTTTTTTTTTTTTAGAAAAATTTCCACCATCCCGAGTTTATTAAGGACACCCTGTTTATCAATTTCCCACTTTTTGACCTTTTAAATAATTTTTCAACCCCATTTTATTAAGCCCCCTCTACCCCCGTTTATTAAATACAGAAAAAAATTCAGACTCTCCGGTTAGGAACCTAAGTGTAGATAGAATTTAGCACAAGAGAAAGAAAAGGCAAAAGAAAGTGAGAAAGAAGGGGATCAAGAAAAGGATAATAAGGGAAATGAAGAGAAAGAAAGGGATAAAAAGAATGGAGAAAAGAAAGAAAGAAAGAAAGAAAGAAAGAAAGAAGACAATAATAAGAGAAATGAAAGGAAGAAAATTGATAAAAAGAGAAAAGAAAAAGAAAGAAAAAAGAATAAGTGAAATGAAGAGAAGGAAATTGATAAACAGAGTGGAGAAAGAAATAAAAAAGAAAGAAAGAAACAAACAAACAAACAAACAAACAAACAAACAAAGGAAGGAAGAGGAGGATAACAAGCGAAATGAAAGGAAGAAAATTGATAAAAGCGTGAAAGAAAGAAAGAAAGAAAGAAAGAAAGAAAGAAAGAAAGAAAGAAAGAAAGACGAAGAGGATAATAAGTGAAATAAAGAGAAGGGGATTGATGAACAGATTGGAGAAGAGAAAGAAAGAAAAATAAATAAATCAAGAAAGAAGAGGATAATAAGAGAAATGAAAGAAAGAAAATTGATAAAAAGAATGAAAAAGAAAAAAAAGACAACGAGGATAAGTGAAATGAAGAGAAGGAAATTGATAAAAAGAGTAAAAGAAAGAAAGAAAGAAAGAAAGAAAGACAGGAAGGAAGAAAGAAATATGTGTGTGCATGAGAAATTGAATGATTGCTAAAAAAAGTTGGTACAAGTAATGAAGGAAAAGAGAAAACACGATACAGTAGGAAAGAAGAGTAAAAGAAAAATGGCGGACCGAAAAAAAAATGGAGTAGGATAGCATTAAACAAAAAAAATGAAGAAAAGAAAGAGAAGAAGGAGATTCATAATCTGTATGGATAACTCTAATAAAGACAGCGATATAACGAGGAAAAAGCCAAGAAAGAAAGGTGAAAAGAAAAATTGAAAAGGGAAATAAAAGAAATCCGGACGAAGGGAAAGATGATGGCTGTTTTCATGATTGAGATGAATTAAAAAAAAATTCGCCAGCTTCGAATCCATTTACGGTGAAGTTTTCGAAAGCGAATTTTCGCCACTTAAAATATTGGCGCAACATAATCACCCTACATCCATTTAGTCTGAAGCTGTACTAAGCTAAGCTTCGTTGATATCTAAGGGTGTTCTATAGAGAAAATGAATCAGTAATGAAATAAACAAAAACTGATGATTTGGTCAATGAAAATGGATATAGAGAGAAAAAAGAGGAGGGGGTATACTCCATGAATTGAAAAAAAAAAGAGTGAAATAGAGAAAGACGGAGGAAGAGGAGGAGGAGACAGAGAAAGAGGCAAGAAATAGACACACACAATCAAGGGAGATCGAAGGAGAGAAATACAAAATGTAAGGTAAGAGAAGTGTGTGATGGGAGGAGGGAGTGTCAGAGAGAATCAGAGATCCTGAGAAATATGGATAGTGATTAGAGAGAGTAAAGAGAGTTAGAGATGTAGTGTGAGATTGAAGGAGAGAAATAGAAATAGTTAGTATAGAAGACGTGTTGGAGGGGGAAAAAATTGACTACTACAGATCGATTGATTGGCAAAGTAGGCGAATGAAAAAGAGAAACGAGAAAGGTTAAAGACCTAACGAACAGAATGGAACAGAAAGGAAAAAGACAAAGAAAATCAAAGAAAATGTGTCGGCTGCATTAGAGAAAGAACAAAAGCATACGTCGAACAAAGATGAAAAGAAGGAAGAGAAAAGAAAAGAAGAGAAAAAAAAAGGAAAGAGAACGAAACGAAACGAAGAGAAAGAGAAGCGGCGAACAGATACATTTTTTCAAAAAACTGGTGGAAAGAGAGAAGATAGAATACATTGTAAAAAATCTGCGAGAAAAAAATAAACACCTTCATAGGTAGAGAAATGGTGAGAAAGGTAAACGATATTAAAGAAGAAAAGAAACAAAAATAAAGAGAGAGTGGGGAGAGATAGATAGAAAGAAAGTGGGGAATGTTTCAAGTAAGAGAAAAAGAAGTGTAAATAAAAAGAAAAAAAGTCGAAGCGGGTGGAAGAGTATGTGCGATTTATGTGTGCCGAGTTCAATGAAGGGGAGCCATAGTCTGCTTATAGAGCGTAACGGAATATTCAATGGCGTCGTCCGCGAGGCGTTATAAAGAAGAGGCGGGCTTTGGTCGACATCAAAAGGTTGCTTGTGCTGGCCAAAGATAAGGTTTGGACTTGGAGGAAAAAGAAGAGGTGGGGGATGAGGAGGAGTGGAATATACGGGGTGGGAGAGAAGAGAGGCAATGAGGAAGGAGGGAGAAATTATTATTTTTATTATCTGTATCTGTAGCAGTTGTTATTGTGGCTATAAGGAGGAGGAAAAGGAGGAGGAGGAGAAGGAAGATGCGGAGGGGTGAACATGAGGAAGGGGAAAAGGTAAAGGAGAATCAAAGTGTGAATAACTAGTATAACATGAGTTAGTTGAAGTAGCAAAACAACTGTTGTTGCTGTTGTTGTTTTTGGTTGGGGTGGGGGAGTCTGGTGCAGCTTTTTTCTGTTTCCATTGTCATGATTAAGAAGGAGGAGGAGGAGAAAAGAAGTAGAAAAATAATTAAGAAAGAAGGTAAAGGAAAGAGGCGAAAGAAGAAGAAGGACGAGAAGAAGAAAAAAAAGGGAGACGAATGAATATGGAGGAAGAAGGCCTGGGAAAGAGGAAGAAGGAAGGATGAAGCAAGCGATGAGGAAGAACTAGGATGCAGAAGAAGAACTGAGAAAGAAGAAAGAGTGAGAAGAGTGGGAATGAGAAAGAGGTAGAAGAATTGAGAAAAGAAGAAGAAGAAGAAGAAGAATTGAAAAAGAAAGCGGCATAAGAAAAAGACAGAAGAAAAGAGTATTTGAAGAAGAAGAAGAAGAAGAATTGAAAAAGAAAGTGGCATAAGAAGAAGGGGAGGAGGAGGAGGAAGAAGAAGAAGAAGAAGAAGAAGAAGAAGAAGAAGAAGAAGAAGAATTGAAAAAGAAAAAAACGCATAAAGAAAGACAGAAGAAAAAAAGTAAATGAAGAATAAGAAGGAGGAGAAGAAGAAGAAGAAGAAGAAGAAGAAGAAGAAGAAGAAGAGGAATTGAAAAAGAAAGCGGCATAAGAAAAAGACAGAAGAAAAAAAAGTATTTGAAGAAGAAGAAGAAGAAGAATTGAAAAAGAAAGTGGCATAAGAAGAAGGGGAGGAAGAAGAAGAAGAAGAAGAAGAAGAAGAAGAAGAAGAAGAAGAAGAAGAAGAAGAATTGAAAAAGAAAACGGCATAAGAAAAGACAGAAGAAAAAAAGTAAATGAAGAATAAGGAGGAGGAGGAGAAGAAGAAGAAGAAGAAGAAGAAGAAGAAGAAGAAAAAAAAAAGAAGAAGAAGAAGAAGAGGAAGAAGAAAGACGAAAGAGGTGAAAGTAGAAGAATTGAAAAGCAAAAAGGAATAAGAAAAAGGTTGAAGAAGAAAAAGAAGAAAAACGGACGAATAACATAATTAAAGGGAAAAATCGAGTCGAAGTTGAAAAACAAAGAAATATAAGAGTAATAGTAAGAGGAGGAAACGAGATTATTATTATTATTATTATTATTGTTGTTGCTGTTGTTGTTGTTTACGCTGTTCCTATAAAAGAGCAAAACAAACCAACAAGAAGCAAAACAGTGTGAGTAACCCTAGAAGTAACGCCGAATTCTTCTGATGTGTGCAAGCTAGTAGGGTGGGGCGCGCTGGGGCGGGGCACACAAAGTTAACCAGCCCGGGTGTTGGTGGGAGAAATATTTAGCAGAGAGAAAAACGTCGGGTGTGGCGGGTGTAGGTATTCAGACGGACAAACAAATGATGATAAAAATGAAAGCCCGTGAAATCGGCCTGAGGAAACTAGATGTATGGCTGCAAGTTGATATAGGGTGTGTGTGTGTGTGTGTGTGTGTGTGTGTGTGTGTGTGTGTGTGCGTGTGTGTGTGTGTGCATTTATATAAATGTATATAAAAACCTTTACAGAGCCCAGTCGATTTCAGAACATGGCGGCAATAATGGAACGCCCAGCGAAAAGCTACCTCACGAGAAATAACGGGTGGGACTCCGGTAAACGCCATATGGATGCATATATATATATATATATATATATATATATTTACATTATCATAGTTTGGCACAAGATCAGCTTTGAAGATAGAACTCTCAGCGTTAGTAAACTGGTCCACGAGATGAGCCTGCTGGTCGTCATAAAAAGGTAGGAGATCAATGAATAGATGCAAATCCGGTCCATATTACCCCCGACTTGGGGTCCAAGCCTGATCAGTGTCCCTGAGCAGTGCTTAATGACATCAGGATTTTCTCTGCTTACATTTATATACCGTAATTCTCCATGTATAATACGCCTTCATCCATAATACGCACATCTAAAATTGTGCTGAAAGTGTGGGAAAATGCTTCTACTCACGCATAATACGCACCCCTTGTTTGGTAATCAAACCCTATAAAGCGTACCTCTCTAATTTCAATACGGCCAGCGTTTTCTACTCTTATTTTAAAAAATGGTTTTAAAAATAGAATAATATTATTCTAATTTAGTTTTTTGATAATTCTTATTTTATTTTACGGCAATTTTTTAAAGATTTTTTGTATCTGTGCATAATACGCACACCTTGTTTGGTAATCAAACCCTATAAAAAGTACCTCTCCAATTTCATTACGGCCAGCGCTTCCTACTCTTATTAAAAAAATGGTTTTCAAAATAGAATAATATTATTCTAATTTAGTCTGATGATAATTCTTATTTTATTTTACGACAAATTTGTAAAGATTTTTTGTATCTGTGCATAATACGCACCCCTGATTTTGCTTTTTTTTTGTTTTAGAAAAAATGCGTATTATAAATGAGGAATTACGGTACTTTATCAATTAAACTAAGTACAACTAACTATTAAAGGAGGAATAATTATCAGATTTTTACGCTATTCTGTGTTCTTTTTCTACGTCCAAATCCGTGAATTTGTTATAGCTTCCATTTTTGAAACATGGTTATTACTGTGTAGCGAAAAAAACATATTTTAAATCAGTTAATTTATAATATTTATGCTCTGTAAATTTACATTGAGCACTGTTTTGTAAAAATAAAAATATCATTAAGAACACCGGATTATATATCTTACTGTTCTTTCTTTTTACAATATATATATATATATATATATATATATATATATTTATATGCGATTCCAGTTCTGCGAAACAGACAGTGAGGAAAATAACGCTGAATATTTTAGTAATGTTATACGATCATTAAAGAATAATTTTCACTCCAACCAAGGCGATAAAGCCACTAAGATGCAAGGGGTTTACTGAGAGTGGAAAAAAAAAAAAAAACTTTGGGAAGGGGAAAAAAAAGAACAGGATTCAAGGAAACAGAAGATTGATTTTGACGTCGCATTGAAATTTTTGAAGATTGTAGTCTACTAGAAAGCCGGAAGAGTGCTTTACGAGCGAGGAATGCGAGAGAAGACACTATTAGCATAGAACTTGCGGTTACATCTAGCCATTTGAAGTGTAAAATGATGAGACCTAGCTGCCAATCTGGTACAATGTTTAAATTCGTGATGTCGAGGTGCCAAAAAGCTAATCAAAACAATTACCATGAAAATATTTATAGAAAAAGGCACAGGAAAGTTACGTTACGGCGGTAGGAAAGGGTGTGTCGTCTTGTGCCTGCCCAAAATATCTAAGCCTGCCATAAAGGGGTAATGCTAATATAGTTAACACGTTCTGCACTAAGTGCGTCATTATTCGTGACCTTATGTCAGACTAAGTTAACCTATGTAAATGTCGATGGGTAGAATATATATATATATATATATATATATATATATATATATATATACAAATTTCCTTTCTTTCACCATACGGTCAGTTTTAGACCCACTGGAGTGGTAGGGTTTTAATCGATTTCGATTTTATTTCCTCAAATTTCTTGCAGTGGTATGCAGTAATATGAATCTAATTTCGGGGTGTATGATGAAATTTGTTTGGCCTTGAAAAATATTGCGTCATTCTTGATTGATCAGATTTTTATCACGTAGAGAGACTATTGTCTCGACTGTCGATTAGTTGTCCTACTGTCATTGACTGCGATGGACGTAACTCCAAGAAAGCGTACGAGAACGTAACTCTGCACAAAAACACTGGCATGCCAGTGAGCAAATCAAAGTACCATAAACTGGAAACTCTTAACTTAAATCCAATCCAGATTCTGTGGTCAATCTACAAGGAACGACTTCGTAGAATAGACACATATTGAAAGAGATATACTGGTTTATATAATATTATATTCTTATATATTATCTATATATATATATATATATATATATATATATATAGTAAAAATGAAAATAATAATAATAATTGCTTATTGTTCTTTTTTTTTTAATATATATATATATATATATATATATATATATATATCATAGTAAAAAAAGAAAGAACAGTAAGATATATAACCTATATTATTATATATATATTACATTATATATTATTATATATCTTATTGTTCTTTCTTGTTTACTATATATATATATATATATATATATATATATATATATATATATATATATATATATATATATATATATATTATAGTAAAAAAAGAAAAAATAGTAAGATATATATATCCGGTGTTCTTATTGATATTTTATTTTTACAAAACAGTGGTCAATATGTAAATTTACAGAGTATAAATATTATAAATTATGATTTAAAATATGATTTCATCGCTACACAATGAAACCATATATTTAAAACCAGTTAATTTATAATATATATATATATATATATATATATATATATATATGTGTGTGTGTGTGTGTGTGTGTGAGAGAGAGAGAGAGAGAGAGAGAGAGAGA